CCCCCCCCCTGGCCATCGCTCGGACGTCCATTCCCTGTGATTTTTTCGGTTTCGTGTGTGGTTCTTCCGCCAAATGATCAAGGATGCTCCTCGATGGTCCTCGCCGAAGGAAGAATGCACACGTCCGAGCGATGCCAAGCCCCCCCCCCCTCCCGCGAGCGCGGAGGGCGGCGGTGCGCGGCAGCAAACCCGGATACCGTTCATCCGCAGGCCCGCACCGTCCGCCCCGCTCACCTCTATGAAGGTCTCCATCTCTCGGCGGCGAGCGAGGGGGGGGGAAGCTTCAAACTGGTAAGAAGCGAAAAGGCCTTCCCAGGAGGCTCGGAAGTCCCCGGGCCTTCCTGGAAGCTCCCTGAGCTTTCCCCGACGACAGACGGGAGACTTCTCAGAAGGCGCGGGGGCTTCTGAGAAGTCCCGCCGCCTTCTGAGCAAGCTCTCTCCTTCTCACTTCCCCCCCTCGCTCGCCATCGAATCTCACGATCGTCTGATCATGACGCAATCCTTCTCCATTGCGGGACAAACCCAACCAGATCCGGAGCCGTGCACGGAAATGGCAACGGTGGCGGTGATGGTCATGATGATGTGGACTGCGGTGCAAGTGCAGATGAGTATTAGCTAAAGGGCATGTGGTGTTAGACATGCAGGTACGAATGGCGATATTGCGGTAACTGCGGCGTGGTGACAAATACTGGGCAGACAAACTAAAAAAAAATATGAAAAAAACATGAGATTGGAGACATCGGCCTGGAACGTTCCACCTGCCTCTAGGTAACATGCTGTCTTCTCTACCGAGATGCACGTATTGAAAGTTTACTCTATACATTAAACCAATGTGCACACATTCAGCCAACCGCATGCTGCACGAATGAGCTAGCCAATCGCGTGTTCAACTTCACGTGGCCGGTACAGCGAAGTCGAATCTGCATCATGGAAAAGACGAGCTTAACACTGACTAAATCACAAAACATGAAGAGCGGAACACGCGTGGAACGCGAATAACTGCCGCACGTGACAGGTGGAAACCATTCGAACCCAGAACTGACAAGAGGACCTCCACAACTGGACACCAATCATCAAACCATGGAAGGGTAATCGGGGAACAATGAAGCACAACCTTGGAACTGCAGTGAATTATGGATACATGTTCACGCGTGATGGCTGCATCCGCAACCCAAGCTGTAACGCACACACACACACACCAATCGCAAACGGTACAAGCACTGAAATTGTTCTGTGGGGGAACAACACAAACGCTTGAACTCGACTGGTAATTCGCGCCACGGAGAAACACCAACCGTCGGACACGCCAGGCCGAATCAGTTAACATAAGACACAGACCATGGAGCGGCACAGCTGAACATATGACAAGTACGTGAACCAGCAGGCAGCATTCAACACGCAATAACATTTATATACACAAATCTTTAACTTGTAACGCCGCTTGCGGGGGTAGAAACCCAGTGGATACAATGTATTATGTGGAACGTCGTCCTACTGCTCTTCCTCCTCCTCCTCCTTCTTCTCCTCCTACACCTACTCCTACTCCTACTCCTCGTTCTCCCATAGCTGCTCATTGTACACCTGCTCCCTTCCGTTTTCCTGCTCGTCCTCGTGACTCTTCCCCTTCCAACTCCTCCTCCGTGACGCCCGCGACATGTATGACCCATTCCACGGGAGCAGCTTGACATCCGGGATCCATGCTTGATGGCCCTGGAATCCCAGAGCGGCCCCCGGCCAAACTTTGGCGCCAGTGTATTCCTAGCTACACCTGGACGCGCGTACATAAAAACAGGTGTCCATGCACAAATACATGGATCTACATATATATATATATACATATATATATATATAGATCACTCGTGCTTCCGCGCTGCACAGTGTCCTACGACTTACTGTACAGCCTTGTGAGTTGAAAGGAAGAGCGCCCTCGCAGCTCGGGCACTGTCCTCAGCCACTTCTGGCAGCGACCACTTTACAGCAGGTAGCTTCGCTTGAATGTTATAAATGTGAAAGGCTATGACTGTGCGCTCAAGAGCTCAGCGCTGAGGAAACTCATCTGATTACATATACATATATATATATATGTATATATATATGTGTGTATACCGATATGCGTATATACCTCCATACATATACTCCACAATCAATGCTTGCACTTAGGGGGTCTTGCTTGTTTTTTCTTTGGAACCGGGCCTACAGGCCGCTCTGGCCGTCACGTGCCCGTCGTCGCCGCCTCGTCGCCGCCCGTCGCCTGGGCCTGCGGGCCGCTCTGGCCGCCGTGGCCGCCGCCGCAGCCTCGTCGCCGCCAATCGCCTGGGCCTGTGGGCCGCTGTGACCGCCTGTCGTCGCCGTCACCGCCTTGTCGCCGCCAGCCGCCTCGTCGCCGTCCGCCGCCTCGTCGCCAGCCGCTTACCGCTTTGCATTGCGCTGCATTGCTTTGCATTGTTCTGCGTTGCTTTGCGTTGATATGCAATGCCCTACACCATGACATTGCAATCGCACTGCTTCGAGATCACACTGCACGGCACTGCCTTACACCGCTGCGCAGCATTCTTTTGTACTGGTATGCGGTGCTTTGCTGTACACTGCCCTTCACACCAAAAACCACGGGACGTGCCGGAAGCTTCCTGTGGTCGAGCTCCTGCTGTGCACACAGCACGACAGGCCGCGCGGCGACAGCGCGCAGGCCCACCGGGGGGGGGGGGTCGGGGGCGCTCCCCGTCGCCGCTGCCCGCGCCGACGGCGCCGCCAGCGCCCGCCTCGTCCTCCTCGTCCTCGTGGACCTCTGGGCGCCGCTGGGCGCGCCGGGGGGGGGGGGCGGCGGCTGCCGTTCTCGGAGGCCTCCCCCACCGCCGATCGTCGAGCCTCAGCTGCCGAAATCCAACGTGGCAGGCCCCAGTCGTGGGCGGCGGCTCCTGTCCTGTGGAGGCATCCCATCACCGATGCATCGCCGATCGTCTGGCCCCTTCTGCTCGGATCCAACTTTACTGTAACTTTTTTTCTTCTGCTCGGATCCAACTTGGGAGGCCCAAGTTTTCGGCGGTACGCGCAAGGGGGTGGCTCGGGGCGGCGCCATCTGAGAAGGGCTTCTCAGCAGACACAGGGCCTTCTTTCGGAGATGTACAGACCTCCCTTTAGTGAAACGTGGTCTAGTGAAAACGACCTCGGGCCCGAACCTGGCGGGCGCAAGCCTGGAACATAACGGCCGCGGCGCCCTCTCGAGAACCGAAAACGGACAATTCACTAATCGACGTGTCAGGGTAGGAGGTCTGTCCACCCCCGATTCTTAGAGGCGCCTGGAGGCTTCCAGGAAGGCTCTCCAGAAGCCCCCCCGGGGCCCTTCCGAACCGCAGAACCGTGCGGTGACGGACTCTGGGGATTCCGAGGTCACCCTGCGGCCCGCCACCACACCGCGCTGGGGCCCACGAGTGAGATGAGGCCCAGGCACGGACAAGACTGGACCGGTTTCGATCCGGGGTCTCTGAGGTCTGGCGGTTCTGAGGGAGGGAGGAGGGAGGAGGGAGGGGGAGGAGGAGGGAGGGAGGAGGGAGGGAGGAAGGGAGGGATGAGGGAGGAGGGAGGAGGGAGGAGGGAGGGAGAGAAGGAGGGAGGACGGAGGACGGAGGAGGGAGGAGGGAGGGAGGGAGGGAGGGAGGGAGGGAGGGAGAGAGTAGGGAGGGAGGGATGGAGGAGATGTGTCGTGCACCGCGGCCGCTCTGGAAGCGCTCCTGGAACGCTCTCAGAGAGCGTTCCGGAACGAGCTGTCCCAAATGCCCCCTCGAAATCAAAGGCAAATTTTCCCCGCGACGTGGCGGCGCCCCAGGACCCCGAAAATGTCAACGCTCGCGCTCCGGAACGCTCTGAGGGCGTTCCGGAACGCCCTATAGAGCGACTCGCCGCTGTCCCAAATCCCCCCTCGGAAGCAAAGGCAAGCTTTTTCCCCGCCACGTGGCGGCGCCCCAGGGGGCCCCCAAAATGGCAAGGGGTTCGCGCCGCAAGGTGGGGGCGGCAGAAACATGAGCATCTGGTCCCGTGGGCCGCGCTTCGCACGTCGACCACCGTGGAAGGCTTGCGTCTGCTTTCGAGGGGTGTTGTAGCCCGCCCGATAATATGATCATCCTTCCTGATAGTATTGTGATTGCTCTTCCTATTGACTCTCCTCTTCCTCTCCTTATGCTGGTATTCCTCTTCTTGTTCTCCCTCTTCAGTCTTGCCTCCTCTTCTTCGTCATCCTATTTATGATTCGTTACATTAGTATGTATCCTGTTGTTTGCGAGTTGCAGTAGTCTTCTTCTTACTATTACTTCTTGGCTCCTTCCTCTTAGTATTGTTGGTGTTATCCTTATTCCTCTGCCTCTCCTGCCTCTTCCTCCCTGCCTCTCCTGTGTTTGCCATTTGCATTCGTCTTCTTCTTAATATGACTCGTCTCCTTCTTCTTCTTCTTCATCTTCTTCTTCTTATTGTTAGCATTCTCGCTCTTCCTCTGCCTCCTCTGCCTCTGCCTCCTTCCAGGCCGCGGCGCACGGAGAGCCAACCCCCGGGGCCACGGCCCGCGGACGAGGCGGGGGGGGAGCGAGCGAGGCGCACGGCGCGGAGGGGGGCGAGGGGCAGGCGAGAGAGAGGGCAGCCCCACGGAGGGAGGCCCTGGCTCGGCGGCGAGCGGGGGGGGGGGGAAGGTGTCGTGGATGCCATGGCGCTGGACACCCTGGGAGTCCCAGCGTGTCCTTGAAAAGGTGTTCAAAAAAGTTGTAGAATACGTGTTACCAGCCTCGAACGTATCCCTATCCCGAAGATTGACACGCCAAGAGGCGATGGGAATCTTAGGGATGCACCCTCTAAAAAATAAGGGAATCCCTGAGATTGGCATCGTGATGTGGAGGTGCCCAGCATAGGGATAGGAATATGTTCCAGGCTGGTAAGTGAATGCCATGGCACTGGACACCCTGGGAATCCCAGCGTGTCCTTGAAAAGGTGTTCAAAACAGTTGTAGGATGATTGTGCTAAAGATGCCTCAACCTACGATGTACATGTTTAAGACATGCTTTGGAACACCTGGGCATGAGTTGGCGACATGCTTCCTCTCCGTGGATCGTTGTCCACGGGAGAAAGTGAGCGGGAGGAGGAGGGGGCCCTCTCAGAAGGCGGCGGGACTTCCAGGAGGCCCTGGCGCCTTCTGAGAAGTTTGCTCTGTCCTCGGGGAGGGCTCCGAAAGCCTCTCAGAAGGCCGGGGGACTTCCGAGAGCCCCATACGGAGGGTGGCCTTGGATCGGCGGCGAGCGAAGGGGGGGGTGAGCAGGAGGGGGCCTTCTCAGAAGGCTCGGAAGTCCCCATGGCCTTCTGAGAGGTTTTTTGTCGAAGCCTCCCCCGCGGACGGAGAAAGCTTCTCAGCGGGCGCCAGGGCTTCCTGAGCAGTCCCGCCGCCTTCTGAGAAGGCCTTCCCCTTCTCATTTCCCCCCTCGCTCGCCGCGCACTAGAGGGGAGGCTGGCCCAAGGAAATGGTAGGAGGATCGGGCTTCAGAGCTGGCCACCAGAAGAAGCCAGACAGCGCTCAGAAGTCTGGATCCCCGACCCCTCGGGCAGAGGATCGACCACATACTTGATTTACCAAACAAGAAATGTTCGATGGCAAACGTCACGCTCCCCATGGCAAAACCATCGAAATCAAAGGAACCCAGGGCACCCCGGAGGCACGCAAGGTGTTTCTAGTCGTGGGCCCCCGCTGCATGTCGTTCTCTGCTCCTCGAGAAACGGAAGCGATGTCAAATCTCGCCCCGCAAACCGACGGCGGCCGCTGCTGAGCAGGCGAATGCCTGGCAGCCTCTCCGAGACGGCACTGGCATTATGTCGGGCGTGCCCCCCTACAGAGGGATTTTCGACGAAAAATAAAAATACCCCCAAAATACACCAAAATGGCCAAAAAATGATCCAAAAATATTCCCCGCATTATTTTGGGACTATTTCTGAATTATGTTGGGGGGTATCTCTTATTTTTCGTCCAAAAGCCCCCTGTATGGGGGACAGGCCCGACTTAACACTGGCAGCACGCCCGCCCCGGCCAATGAACCCAGGAATCCTCCGAGACGATGTGTGCGCAACCCGCGGGGGGCCCCACAGGTCCCGACCCCTTCCCCAAGGGTTGTTTAAGTCGTGCGTGTCCCCCTACAGAAGGATTTTGGGCGAACAATAGAAAATACGGAAAAAAAAGCTCCCAAATGGTCAAAAAATATACAACAAATCATCCCCAGACTATTTTCTTATTACTTTTTGACCATTTTGGGGGTATGTTTTATTTTTCGTCGAAAAACCTCCTGTAGGGGGACACGCCCGACATAAGGGTAGTTTCGTCTCCGATCAAGATTGGAAGGTCCCCGCGGCCAGATAACGGGTCACCGAGGCCGCAATCGAACAAATCACACCCTCGGAGATCTGGAAGCTGTTGTCGTGTCGGCCTTCCTTCGCCCCCGCTCTTCCCGCCCCCCACCCCCGAGGAGGCCTCCTATAAGAGTCAGCAACTGAGGCCGGGGCATCGCGCCGCATCCCCGATGCACCCCGCCGATGCACTGGCGCTGAATCGGCGACGTCGGCAATACCTCCGCGCCGTCGGCGTGGAGAGGACCTGGCTCCACGCCGAGCCGTATCGCCGATGCAACGGCGATGTGACGCGATCCTCCGACCCCGTCCTCCTAGGACGAAGTTCGGGAGGCCCGGACCTTCGCCCTGTGCTCTCCCCGCCCCCGCTCCGAGCCCCCCGAGCCCTCGCCCCCCGCTGGAGGAACCAGAAGGTGCCGCTGCCGCCGCTCCCCGCACCTCCTCCGGGGCGCGCTCTGGCCGCGACCTCGGCGCGAATCCGGCCGTGGTGACGAGGATAGGGGGCCAAATGCGAACCCTACCCCAAATCACCCCCCACGATTTCTGAGGGGGAGGGTGGGGTTCACTTCGCTCGGGAGCTCCCCCGAACAAAGTGAACCCCACCCTCCCCCTCAGAAATCGTGGGGGGTAGGGGTAGGTTTCGCATGTGGCCCCCTAGAGGACTCTCCAGGACGAGCAACGGTGTCGGCACCTTTTCCCGACTGTCGTTCTTCGCCCCCGCCCCGCCCTCTCCCACTCCGAGCCCCCTGAGACCTCGCCCCCCTGCGAGTCGGGATTGATCCTTATCCACCGCATTGGGGAGCCGACGAGCCTGGACCCCAGGGGGCGGCGGATACAGGTGTATCTGGGCCCAGGGGGGCGGAATATATATATATATATATATATATACATATATATCCATAGCCACCGCCAGTGCCAGATCGACCGCCCAGGCGGTGCTCATGGACCATTCCGCCTCGGACGACACGGGCTCCCCGACCTCTCGCCCACTTCCCTGGGACTGGCTCTCCATACGGAGTCATTGTCCAACGGTCCCGAGGCCTGGTAAGCTTCTTAGGTCGGGCATGTCCTCCTGCAGGCGGATCTTGGAGGACAAATTCAAACTAGCCAAACAAATGTTCGAAAATCATAGAAGCATCGTCCCCGGATTATGTTTCCACTATTTTTCGATACTAATCTCATGTAGAGCATGCCCGACTCAACTGTAAGGGCCCCGAGAGGCCGCAAACGATCAAACTTTGTTTTGATCCGCGGGTCGAGAGCGCACCTCTTCGGGTCGAAGCTAAGCGGGCCGCGCGAAGCTTGAATTAACAAAGAGGGGGGGAAAGAAGGAGCGCAGATTCACGAGGCCAGGAGGAGGCAAAGCCTGCAAACGATCAAACACCTGCCGCCCTGCCTCTCTCGAGGCGCTGCATGTCCGGGCCCCCCGCCCTCGCTCCCCGCCTCGTGGAACCGGGTGTTGCCGCGGCTGATCGCCAGCTCCTCGCGGCCCGGAGGGGGGGGGGGGGGGCGAGCCGACCGCGGCGGCGCGGCGGACGAGGACGAGGACGAGGACGAGGGGGAGGAGGGCGAGGACGAGGGCGAGGGGCGAGGCGGAGGGCGAGGACGAGGCGGAGGGCGAGAACGAGGGCGAGAAGGAGGGCGAGAAAGGACGAGGGCGAGGGCGAGGGCAAGGCGGAGGGGCGGAGGGCGAGGACGAGGCGGAGGACGAGGACGACGAGGGCGAGGCCCCGAGATCGCGCGCGCGCGAAAGCGCGCATGCCTCGGAGGGCGGAGGCTCCCGGAGAGGCCACCCCGAGAGGCCCCTGCGGAGAGGCCCCTGCGGAGAGGCCCCCCCCCAGAGGCCCCTCCAGAGAGGCGCCCCGAGAGGCCCCCCGAGAGGCCCCCAGAGAGGCGCCCCGAGAGGCCCTCAAGGAGGCCACCCGAGATGCCCCCGAGAGGCCCCCAGAAGGTCCCCAGGAGGCCCCCACACTGCCCCCGAGAGACCCTGGAGAGCGCTCCGACGAGACCCCAAGAAGCATCCCTGAGGACTCTGGCCAACAACCCCGGGCACGGTGGCGGGATGGGCCGACGGACTTGAGGACTCTACTCCGCGGTTGGTAATTCGGTGGGAAGGAGTAAGTAGAATCATGAAGTAGGAAGGCGATGAAAGAAGAATGGGTTTCGTCCACCCCCGAAGGAGCACGGAAAAGGTGAAGCCACTCGATCATTGAAGTAGCAGGGCGCTTAAAGCAGATTGGAGTCTGGGAATCCAAAATTACCTACTTTCAACGACCGATGGGTAAGCGCTGGGGGGGGCGCCACGCCCGCCGACAGCCCAGACCCGCCCCCGTCGCGGGCAAGCACTGCCGCGCGACGTCGGCCCCGGTCGGCCCACGCTGCCCGCCGCAGCAGAACCAGACCTCCCCGGCCAACGGGCGCGAGCCAGCTGAGGAGAGGAGGAGGAGGAGGAGGAGGAAGAGGAGGAGGAGAAGGAGGAAGAGGAGGAGGAGGAGGAAGAGGAGGAGGAAGAGGAGGAGGAGGAGGAAGAGGAGTCGGGGGCGGTCTCGGCACCCTGGCGCCGCCGCTTGGCATCGGGGGGAGCGCTGCTGAGTGGTGGACCTGGGGCCAAAGACACAATCTGGAGCGCAAGACTTCCCCTGGTACGATACCAGGCGCGGGCTCCAGGAGGAGCATTTCCACTGAACAAACACATGGGCACCGTGGGATATCCGCAGTCATTATGTTCTTAGACATGGAAATTGGACCACAACAGCGGGAACAATAACAACAACAGTAACGACAACACCACCACAGCCAACAACAAACAAATAAGAACAACAAACAACAACGACAACAACCACAACAACAGCAACACGAACAACAGCAAACAGAAAACCACTAATATTAACACCAACAACAACTACGACGACGACGCTAACCACAACAACAACATCAACAACAACAACACCATCAACACCAACACCACCACCAACAACAAAAACATCAGCAGCAACAACACAACAAATAATACCACCAACAACCACCACCACAACACCAACAAAGCCAACAACATCAACACCAACCCTACCACCAACACCAACAACAAACACAACAATAACGACAACACCACCACCGCCAACAACAACATCAACGACAACAACGCCAACAGCATCAATACCAACAACAACAGCAACAACCATAACAACAGCAACCGGTATGTAACGACTGTTCGCTTCACATGGTCGCGTCTCATTCAACAGGTGTATCCCAAGCCATCGATATCTGCCCTCTTCATTTTGAATCGTACGACCCCTGGGGATATGCCTTCCTTACCAGCCACATGTAGTTGGCGCAACCTCTAAAGCAGGAGAAGGGAGGGATGGAGGGAGGAGAGAGATGGGGGAGGGAGAAGGATGGAGCACGAGAGGGATCTGCAGCAGGGGATTTCAGGAGCAGGAGTGCGGGCGCCAGAACCAGGAGGGGCGCAGCGGTACGCCAGGTACGCCAAGGCTTAGGTCGGGCGTGTCCTCCTACAGGCGTACTTTGGACGAGAGATAAAGCAGAGTCAAACAAAAATCAGAGACAATCGAACCTAGCCAAACAAAATCAGCAAAAACATCAGAAATGATCCAACAGAGTCAGAAAATATCGTCCCCCATGCGCTGGGGCAGGGACCGACCGTCCCGGCCTTCCTGTAGGCCCACAGTCGGGGCGCTGACCCAAGGAGCCCAAAACAAGGAACGAGGCCCCTTTTTCTCCAGAAGTTAAACCTCGACTCCCCATCGAAAACCTAAGGACAACCTGAGGCAAACGAACACCGAGCCCGTCCCCAACGAAAAGGGCTCTCTCTTCAGCGCCCCGACTGCACCACGACATGTTCTCAGTACCAAAACATACGCTACAGTCAACCCGTATAATAAGGACGCACGAGAAGGATACCCGGGCTTGGACGTTCCTGTTCAGGGGCCGCCATCGGAGGGGCGCGGCCGTAAAAGCGGCCAAAAGATGGGCCGTGGAGGCAAGGATGAAGGGAACCTTGGGTAAGGATGCTCTTACTGTTCGGGTTGACTGTACGCCAACGAAACGCACGAGGTTCTCAATTGTGCACACCGATGTGCTAAGATCGGGTCGGGCGAAAGGGGGGTAGCAACGGGGGGGGGTTGAGGAATCGGCGCGGTCAGTGATCAACCATCCTGTGGAGTTGGGTTCTCGTTTTGATGAGAAGGGCCCACGCGTTCTCCTACCTTCTTCCTCTCCTTCCTTCCTCCTCGCTCTCTCCCTCCTCCTACTACCTTCGGACCTCACCCAAAGGTTCCGTGGGCGCAAGCCGCATGGGTACGGCCCCCCAATTTTGGCCCACCCCTCAACGTTTTCGGGTCGGCCCATAGGGGAGCTCCACCTATGGTTCCAGTGGCGCAGCCCGCATGCGGTACGCGCCCAATTTTGGCACACCCCTCACACGTTTCGTGGCCCCATAGGGAGCTCCACCTTAGGCCCCAGTGGCGCAGCCCGCATGCGGTACGCGCCCAATTTTGGCACACCCCTCACACGTTTCGTGGCCCCATAGGGAGCTCCAACGTAGGCTCCAGTGGCGCAGCCCGCATGCGGTACGCGCCCAATTTTGTCACACCCCTCACACGTTTCGTGGCCCCATAGGGAGCTCCACCGAAGGCCCCAGTGGCTGCGTTCGCATGGCGGCGCCGCACCCAATTTGGCACACCCCTCACACGTTTCGTGGCCCCATAGGGAGCTCCACCGAAGGCCCCAGTGGCTGCGTTGGCATGGCGGCGCCGCACCAATTTCGGCACACCCCTCACACGTTTCGTGGCCCCATAGGGAGCTCCACCGAAGGCCCCAGTGGCTGCGTTGGCATGGCGGCGCCGCACCAATTTTTGGACGGTCGACAACCTCACCACGGTTTCGTGGCCCATATGGGAGCTTCCACCGAAGGCCATCGGTTTCCGTTTCGGCATGGCGGCGCCCCACCCAATTTGGGCCACACCCCTCCCCCAACGTTCGGTGGCCATCGGGAGCTCACCGAAGGCCCCATTTGGCTTGGTGCGTTGGCTATTGGCGGCGCCGAACCAATTTGGCAACCCACTACGTTTTCGTGGGCCCTAGGGCGCTCCACGAAGGCCAGTGGCTGCGTTGGATGGCGGGTCTGGTTGGATGGCGGCGCCGCACCCATGTCGGCACACCCCTCACACGTTTCGTGGCCCCATAGGGAGCTCCACCGAAGGCCCCAGTGCTACCGCCCTCATGCGTCCCGTACGCCCAGGACAGCGTTTCGTGGCACGCCTTTCGTGGCCCCATAAGGAGCCCCACCGAAAGCGGCACCCACAAAGCGTTATTCACAATTGCATATGGTTGGGTCCTTCGCCAGGATAATTTTATTTTCCCAGCGCCTCCTGGCGCCGGAGGCGGCTGCCGAAACCAGCTGCATGCAGTAAATTTCGTCCCCCCCCCTTTCCTAATCCCCCCCTTTCGTCCGGCCCGATAACACGAGGCAGTCTCAGCCAGACATGCTCTGAGAGAACATGTCGTGCAGACCACAGAAGGCTCTTAGAACACTCTCTTCAATGAGCCTCTAGGCGGGCCGGGACGCCTCGCCACTGCTCGGCTGAGGGGCAACGATAAGGGGGGATAGGCATACGATCGGCGACAGGCCCCTGATAGTGAATCCGCACCTTCCTGGGCAGGCTGGGGCTGCCTCGCCACTGCTTGACGGCGGCCCGCGGGAGGGGGGGGGAGGCGGGCGGGCCGGCGGAGGAGCGAGGGCTGGCGGGGTCCTTCAAGGACTTGCCGCGCAGCATCGCCGACTCCTCGGCCTGCCGGCTTGCGGGGCGGGGGGGGGGCGAGCGACCGCCGTCGCTCCTCCTCCCCCCCTCCTCCTGCTCCTGCTCCTGCTCCTGCTCCTGCTCCTGCTCCTGCTCCTGCTCCTGCTCCTCCTCCTCCTCCTCCTCCTCCTCCTCCTCCTCCTCCTCCTCCTCCTCCTCCTCCTCTCCCTGCTCCTCCTCCCGGGCCTCTACGACCTCCTCTTTCTCTCCCTGCTTCTCCAATGGATCCTGCTCCCTCCTCAGTCCTCCGTCTGCTCCTCTTGGTGCCTCTCTTATGCCTCCTCCTGCTCCCGCTCCTCCTGCCGCTGCTTCTCCTCCAAACTTATCGTCCTCCTCCTCCACCTCATCCTCCTCGTCCTCCTCCTTCTGCTCCTGTTATCCTGCTCCTCCTTTTCATCCTCACCACCATCGCAATCGCCCTCATCACCAGAATAGTCCAAATCCTGATCCTCATCCTCCGAGCCCTCACCATCATCATCAACAACATCATCATCATCATCATCATCATCATCATCATCAGCATCAGCATCAGCATCAGCATCAGCATCAGCATCAGCATCATCATCATCATCATCATCAGCATCATCATCATCATCATCATCATCATCATCATCATCATCATATTCATCACCATCATCATTATCATCATCATCATCACCATCATCAATCATCAATATCATCAATCATCATCATCATCATCAGCATCAGCATCATCATCATGGTCACCAGCGCCGTCATCATCGTCATCATTATCAGCATCATCAGTATCCTCATTCTCGTCATCAACATCACCACCATCATCATCATCACCATCATCACCATCACCATCATCACCATCATCACCACCATCGTAATCATCATTGTCGGCGTCGTCGTTGTCATCATCATGATCATAACCAACGTCGACGTCATCATCAGCAACAGCATCATCATCATCATCATTATCACCAAACCAAGCCGTCATCATCATCAACATCATCATTACCAACATCATCATCATCGTCGTCGCCAACATCGTAATCATCATCATCATCATCACCGCGATCATCACCATGATCATCATCACCATCATCACCATACCGGCCACCTCGTTCTCATCATCATCACCATCATCATCAGAATCGTCCTCATCATCTTCATCCTCAGTTTCATCATCATCCTCTTCATCATCACCCTCAGCATCATCACCAACACGAACACCACCATCACCTCATCCTCATCAACGTCAGCATCACCATCAGCACAAGCATCACCAGCATCATCACCACCCCTGTTATCATCTCCACCTCCAGACCACCACCCCGTGTTCATCATTATCATCATCATCATCATCACCATCATCATCATCAGCATCAGCATCAGCATCATCATCATCAGCATCATCCGAATCGTCATCGACATCATCACCTCAGAATCATCATCAGCATCTGCATCAGCATCGTTGTTATTATTCTAAGCATCATCAATACCATCATCACCATCGTCATCGTCATCGTCATCGTCGGCATCATCATCATCATCATCACCATCACCATTACCATCATAATTACCATGACCATCACTATCGCCATCACCATTACAACAATCATCATCGACATCGCGATCATGATCGCCACCACCACTGTCAGCATCGTCATTACCATCACCACCACCATCACAATGACCACACGCATGATGATCAACACCACCACAATCAATACCACTACCTTCGTCATCATCATCATCATCACCATTACCAGCATCCTCATCCTCAGCAGCATCGTAAGCTCACTCATCATAAGCATCGCCGTCGTCATCACCATCACCATCATCGTCACCATCATCATCAGCAGCATCATCAGCATCATCATCAGCATCATCATCCTCATCCACAGCATCACCATCATCATCACCATCATCAGCATCGTCAGCATCCCATCATCAAGGTCGTCACCCCTCCTCCTCCTCCTCCTCCTCCTTCTCCTCCTCCCTGGCCTCCCCAAACTCCTTCTCATCCTATTTCTCCTCCCCCCCTGGTCATCAAACTGATCCTGCTCCCTCCTCAATCGTCCGTCTGCTCCTCGTGGTGTCTCGCATGCCTCATCCTGCTCCCGCTCCGTCTGCTGCTGCTCCCCCTCCAAACGTATCGTCCTCCACCCCCTCGTCATCCTCCATCCCCTCCTGTCCTCCTGCTCATCCGTCCCATCCCCACCATCATCATAATCGTCCACATCCTCATCATCACCCTCATCCTCATCCTCCTCCTCCAACCCATCCTCCTCCTCCACCTCCTCCTCCTCATGGGCACCGTCCTCCTCATCCTCGACCTCGTCATTATCGAAATCAGAATCGTCAGCATCCTGCTCATCCTCAATCCCATCATCCTCCGCATGATCATCATCCCATAGCCGCATTGCCACCACCACCACGGCCACCACCAGTGTTTCCTCCTGATCGTCAGCATCAGCAGCACCATCATCAGCATCACCACCATCATCGTCGCCGACACCACCATCATCATCATGATCATCACCATCAGCAACACGCTCACCACCACCGCAGTCATCATCAGCATCGTCAGTCGCATCACCATCACCAGCAGCAGCAGCACCACCACAATCACCATCACCACCACCACCAGCATCACCACCATCAGCACCCTCACCATCGCCAGCTCCCCCATGACCAGCATCATGAGCATCTTCATCATCATCATCATCAGCCTCACCATCACCATCACCATCACCATCATCATCAACATCAGCATCATCAGCAACGGCCTCATTAGTGTCGCAATCATCATCACAACCACCATGCTGCATCATCACCACATCGCCAGCATCAGCAACAGCATCATCATCACCATCACCATCATCAGCATCATCAGCATCATCAGCATCATCACCATCATCATCATCAGCATCATCAGTATCATCATCATCGGCACCAGCATCATCATCACCATTATCAACATCCTCATCATCATCATCATCATCATCATCACCATTATCAGCATCCGCATCCTCATCCTCATCCTGCTCCCCCTCCTCCTCCTCATCATCATCACCATCATCAGCATCCGCATCATCATCAGCATCATCATCATCATCAGCATCATCACCATCTCACCCCGATCCGCCTCCTCCTCATCCTCGACGTCATTTCAGGCCTCTCCTTCTTCCTCCTCCTCCACCTCCTGATCCCTCCTTCTCCTCCTGTTATCCTGATCCTAATCTTCCCATTATCATCATCATCATCAGCAGCATCATCATCATCAGCATCATCATCATCAGCATTATCAGAATCGTCCTCATCCTCATCACCCGCATCCTCAACTCCTCGTCCAGCTCTTCCCCCTCCTCCCATCACCGTCAGCCTCAGCAGCGCCATCATCAGAAGCGTTCTCGTCCTCGTCCTGATCCTCATCGTCATCGTAGTCGTCACCGTCCCCCTCCCAATCCCCATTCGCATCATACTCCTCGTAAGCATCATCACCCCTGATCATCATCGCCAACATCACGACAGCCACTACGTCCTCCACATTCAATATCATCAGCATCAGCATCAGCATCAGCATCAGCATCAGCATCATCATCATCACCATCATCAGCATCATCATTAGCATCAGTTTCCTCATCATCATCGTCATCATCATCACCCCCACGACCACCACCACCACCGCCATCACCATCATCAGCATCATCATCATCGGCATCATCATCATCATCACCATCATCATCATCATCAGCAGCATCATCATCACCATCACCATCACCATCATCATCATCATCCTCATCCTCATCATCATCATCATCATCATCATCATCATCATCATCACCGTCACCCCCCCCGTCCTCCTCATCCTCCTCCTCCTCATCGTCCTCCCCATCATCCCCAGCCTCTCATTCCTTCTCCTCCTCCTCCCCTGCACCTCCAGCTGACCCTGTTCTCTACGCAGTCCTTCGTCTGCTCATCGTGGTGCCTCTCCTTCCTCCTCCTGCTCCCCCTCCTCCTGACGGTGCCCCTCCTCCAAACTCATTGTCCTCCTCCTCGTCGTCCTCCTCCTTCTCCCCCTGTTCCCCTGCTCCTCCGCCTCATCCTTACCGTCATCCTAATCTTCCTCATCCTCACCATCATCCACCTCCCCACCCTCATCCTCACCATCATCAGAATCGTCCTCATCCTCCTCCTCATCCGAAGTCTCGTAATCCTCCTCATCATCATCATCATCACACCCATCATCATCGCCACCATCACCACGAACACTACACCACCTTCTCGTATTCATCATCATCATCACCGTCAGCATCATCATCATCATCAGCATCTCCATCAGCAGCATCCTCATCCTCATCCTCATCCTCATCCTCATCATGATCACCAGCATCATCATCATCATCATCATCATCATCAGTATCGTCATCAGCATCGTCCTCGTCATCACCATCACCATCACAATTAGCATTATCATTACTATCATCATCACCATGACCGCAATCATCATCACCACCACCCCAGTCAGCATCATTATCAGCACCACCACCATCAACATCACGATCACTACACCCATGATCATCGACACAATCAGCACCCTCATCATGATGACCATCACCACAACCACGTCCACCATCACCATCGCCATCATCAGCATCATCATCATCACCAGCATCATCATCAGTATCATCATCATCATCATCACCTACATCATCATCCGCAGCATCATCCATATCATCATCATCATAATCGCCATCATTCACAACGATCATCATCACCATTACCATTATTATCAGCACCACCATCATTACCACCACCGACAGCACCACCATCATCATCATCATCAGCATCATCATCATCACCACCATCATCATCGTCATCAGCAGCATCAGCATCATCATCATTAGCATCATCATCACCACCATCATCATAATCATCATCCATATCATCATCATCATAATCGCCATCATTCACAACGATCATCATCACCAGTACCATTATTATCAGCACCACCATCATTACCACCACCGACAGCACCACCATCATCATCATCATCAGCATCATCATCACCACCATCATCATCATCATCATCATCATCATCAGCAGCATCAGCATCAGCATCATCATCAGCATCAGCATCATCATCACCACCATCATCATCATCATCATCATCATCATCATCACCAGCACCACCATCATCATCATCACCATCACCACCATCACCATCATCACCTCCTCCTCCTCCTCCTCGGAAGGGAGGGGACCTCTCGGGGGGGGGGGCACCGTCCCCTCCCTCCCTCCCTCGGGGGCCATCCGCCCCCGCCCATTTCGCGCTCCCGACTTCCCCCCTCCCGCTCCCGCTGCAAGCCACCCGCCCGCTTCCGCTCCGACCATCCCTCCGCCGCGCCGCGCCCGCCCCGGCTCCGCGTCTCTCTGAAGGGGCCCTGGGACACACACAAATAAAGACACACAAATCACAGGATTCCCCAGTATATTTTCTTAGGTTTTCGGGGTTTGGGTCTTCCCCTCCACTTCCCATGTGTTTTCCCATATGTTCTGGGGAATCGACGATTCATTGTGTCTGTGTGTTTTTTCTATCCTCCTGAGTCTCCTCCGTGGTCTGGCCACGGCGAGCCTCGGCCTCGGCCACGAAGATGAGAACAAGGATTACTGTGTTGGGAGGAAGGGGTTGAGAGGACACAAGGTACGACTAGGTCATGGGCGCCTTCTCAACAAACGCGGCAAGGTTGATGATGTTATCATTTCTCCCAATCCCATCCGGGATGATGTCATCAACATAACGGCAAGGTTGATGATGTCATTTCTCCCAATTGCCGATATGTTGATGATGTCATCAACATATCGGCAAAGTCTGATTTAGACCTCCCAGATAGGCTCCGAGTAGATTGGGTCGACGGATCGCGCCGCATCGCCGATGCATCTCCGATGTATCGGCGATGCATCGGCGACGTCGGCGATGCATCGGCGACGCTGGCGTGGGGAAAAACGGGCTCCACATCGAGCCGCATCGTCGATTCCTCGGCGATGCGGCGCGATCCTCCGACCCCATCTACGCCGACCCCACCTAGAAGGCCTAAATCAGACTTTACCTTATGTCGGGCCTGTCCCCCTACAGGGGGATTTTCGACGAACAATAAACAATACCCCCCAAGTAGTCCAAACATAATCAAAAAAAAATTGTTGGACCTTTTTGGTGTATTCTTGGGGCATGTTTTATTGTTCGTCGAAAAAAACCCCTGTAGGGGGACAGGCCCGACCTACACTTAACCCGATGGTTGTTTCTCTGACAAGCGAGGCAAGACTCCCCGATCCGGATCCGAGGATCGGGCCGGGCGAAAGGGGGGGATAGCAAAGGGGGGGTTTGAGAATCAGCTCGCGTAGCTGATTTTCCTGGCGCCTCCAGGCGCCGGGAGGCGCCCACGTATCGAGGAATGGGCCCCTCGGTGGGGCCGAAACCAGCTGCATGCAGCAAATTTCGTAACCCCCCCTTTCCCAATCCCCCCCTTTCGCCCGGCCCGAGAGGAGCCGCTCGGACGCCCGAGCCCTTCCAAGAGTCCAGAGGGGTGCTGAGCTCAGCGCCTGGACTGCAGCCAACGCGCAGACCCCAGCGGTAAGACGAAGCCAGGACGAAGATCAAGTCGGGCCTGTCCCCCTACAGGGGGATTCTCGACGAACAATAACAAATACTCCAAACATGGTTAAACAAAAAAATATAATAAAAATAGTCTGGGGACTATTTTTTGAATATTTGTTGACCTTTCTGGGGCATTTGTGGGGTATCTCTAATGTTTTTGCGAAAAGCCACCTGTAGGGGGAAGGCCCGACTTAAAGCCAGGACAAAGGGAAAGTCGGGTGAGGCTAAATCAGGAATTTCTGAGATCCGGCGGCTCTGGAACATGTCTCGGGCGCCGCGGCCTTCTCGGAGCGGTGCGGACCGCTCTGCGTGCGTGCGGAGAGGGTTCCCTGAGATCTGACGTTGCGAAAAAAATGCAACATTGCAAAAAATCAGGCCCGGAGCCCTGGGCCCCATCTTTCTGCGTCATCTTCCGACCCGGATCGATCTGCGAAAGCCCCCGGGCCTGAAGAAAGGCGAGAACGCCCGGCTCGAAAAACTTGCGACGCCAGGATCTCAGGGTTTACCCTCGTCCTGGCCCCGTCCGAAACTCGGGTCGGGCGAAAGGGGGGGCTGATTTCCCCGGCGCCTCCCGGCGCCAGAGGCGGCTATGTATCGAGGAATGGGCCCCTCGGCCGAAACAAGCTACATGCAGCAAATTTCGTACCCCCCCCTTTCCCAATCCCCCTTTCTTTGGACGCCCGAACTGGATACGGAAAAATGGGTACAATGCCCAAACCAACGGCGGCCGCTGTTGGGCAGGCGGCCCGCTGTCTCAAATGTACACAGGCCGCGGCGGCGCGGACAGCGAGTCCTGTTCAAAATGAACAAGAACTGCTGTTGGGCATTGTACCCATTCTTTCCGTGCCCACGTCGTTCGTGCCGATTTCGTAACCCCCCTTTTCCCAATCCCCCCTTCCGTCCGGCCCGAGAAACGGACCAGAGTCGGGCACGCAGCATGAGCCGGCCAGCACGAGCCTGGGGCGCCCGGTGCCACGCCGCGAAGCATATGGCCGGCCGCGCAGAAGGGCTCCCCAAAAAGCCGGGGCTGGCGGCTAAGGCGGCCCGGGGGGGAATCGGCCGCACGTGGCTCCCACACCCTTAGGAGGCAACTACTGGGAGGTTTTCGTAGGCAAGGTTGAAGCTGAGATCCTCATAACTAGTTCTGGTAGTTGTGGGGAAGTTGTGGTAGATCATGTTAAGTTGTCTTCCAGATCTTATCTTGATCTTCCAAATCTTAACTCGATCTGCCAAATCTTACATAACTTGAACGGTGCAAGTTTGTGGAAGATACGGAAGTCGGAAATATTAAAGAGGATTAAGCCCCACTGGGGGGCTGTTATGCAGAAGTGGGCCTCGGACTAAGCGGGATGAAGCCGGATTCAGCGGGATTAAGCCCGACTAAGCCGGAATGAGCGGGTTCAGCCCGGATAAAGCCGAATTTCGGACCAGGGCAAACACAGAATTTGACCTCCCAGGATTTGCATCCGGCAGCCGGAGAGGATTGGCTGAGCCCCGTCGGCGCTGACCCCCGTCACGCGAGCCCCGACAAAGACCCCGGGTGCTGCCAGAAGTGCCCCTGGCCAGAGGGGCCCCCAGGATCTCCAGGGGGGCCCCCCGCGGCCTCCGGAGCAGCCCGATCACGAGGCCCAGAGGGCTCCAAAATCGAGCGAAGAGCTGGGGGGCAGCTTGGGCCAGGGGCACCTTCGGCAACCCCCGACAGAGCCGCACGAGCCCGCCCGGCCTCGATCAGCTCGCTCAGGTCCCCGCCGCTGTCCCGGGTGTCCGCGGGCGGGCGCAGCTTGCCGCCCTTGATGCCCTCGTGGCCCTCGGGAGGATAGTCGGTAACCTTCGCGCGCGTGGGGCTCGCGCGCGGGCAGGTGCTCGCCATCAACAGAAAAGACAGAGGTTTCGCAAGATGCTGCAAGGGGTGAGGGGCCCCGACAAGGGGGGACCAGCTCAGGGGGGGTGCGTCGAGCTGGAATCGGCAACACATCGCCGATAGATCGGCGATGGGGCCCCCGATATTGTGCTGGGACCGACCGTCCTGGCATTCCTATAGTGCTACCACGACATGTTCTTAGAACCCAGAACTGTTCTAAGAACAAAAACAATGTTCTTGGAACATTAGCCCGATGTGTCAAACCGAGGCAGGCTCCGCCAGAAATGTTCTAAGAACATTCCGTGGAAACCACAAAAGGTTCTCAGAACACTTTTTGGTGGGACCATAACCATCAGCGGGCCGGGACGCCTCGCCACTGCCTGACGATAGCCAATCCGCCCCTTCCTGGGCGGGGTGGCCCATCGGGCCCCTTATCGGCGATCGGTGGGCGACGAGGGGTCGAGGCATCCCCCCCTGTCAGCCTATCCCCCCGTCGGAGGCTGCCCCCGAGCGACCGCTCCGAACCGACCTCAATCCTATACCTCGGACCGGCCGTATAGTTCTACTTCCTGCCTCAGACTGCAAGCTGCTACCGAACCCAGCGAGGGGGGGGGGGGAGGGCCGAGAGAACCACCAGGACCACCATGGCCTCCCACGGTCCTCGGAAGTCCCCGGAGGGCCCTCGGGGACACGTAGAATGCAGGCTGCCCCAATCTCGGGCACACGCAGGAGTGGTCCTAGGCAATACATACACACACACACACACACGCTCACGCACACACCTCGCGCGCGGCTTTCGCGGGGCCCAGGGGGGCAAACCAAACCCAAGCGCGCAAGGAATTGCTGTCGCATCGCATGTAGCGTTCGGGGGACCCCACTGGCCCCGCACTAAAGAAGTCTCTGGCGAAGGGTCATTCCTACGTGTTTCAAAAGGCGATCTAGGATGCAAAACCAGTCCCCAGGAAGAGGTCGACAGCTCTGCCGACTTTCGCGCGCGTGCGCGCGGGACACGCTCACGGGAAGGAGGTCACAATCATAACTTCCACCTCCTCGAGGATCGAGGGCCGCGGTTGTGGTGCGGTGTTGGCCCATTTTTCTGAGCCTCCGGGATCGGGGATCCCCAGTTACCTCCAGGGACCTCCAGACCGCTAGAAACCTCCGGGGATCCCCTCCTCCCCTTTGTTGTGGATACCACGACAATGGACACCCTAACGGTCCCATTATTGAATTTAGAGAATGTTTAAAATGTCGAAGAGCATGTTCTAGACATGTTTTAAATATGTGATTTACATGTTTTGATCCTGCTTTTACATATTTTAGACATCTGCAAATCATGTGGCAACATGCTTCCTCTCCATTGATCGTCCTCCACAACTCTTTCTCCACTTCCTTCTTTTTCGCCCCCCACTCCTGCTCCACATCTGCTACAACTTCCCAAAACACCCCTTGCTCTCGCCACGCCGTCTGCTGATTGTGCCACCCTGCTGCCCTGCATGCTACGAATCAGCATCGTTAGGTCGGCCATGCTCTCATAAAGGCGGATTTGTTGGGATGGAACTGCCGAAATTGCAAATCAACATTCAATCAAAAATTCAAAACAATAGTCCCCAGACTATTTTTTGTCCATTTTTGAATTTTCCTCTGTAGAAGGACTTGCCCGACTGAATGCTATCGTCGGGCTACCACATGGCACGCCGAGGAAGAAACGCAGTGGCTTTTCGGGTCACGGCGAGCCTCGTCCACGGAGACATTCCCTCCTGGCAGTTCACAGGAGTTTCCCCGACCATCTTGTCGGCTCTTGCGAGTCGACGCTCGTCGACGCTGCATCGACGCTAAACCGACGCCCATCGACGCTAGCCGTCGCTAAACCGGCGCTATCTCATCGACTCCCAGACGCCAGTCGACGCTAACCGACGCTAGAGACGGAATTAAAAGGATACACCAGGCTCCCATGTTTTGCTACCGAAACCAACCCGAGCCCTTCCTGAGCTCAAAGTGGTCCTTCCTTCAGCGTCTGGACCGTTGAACTAGTAACGCGGCGTGCCGATCATCCGCTGGAATGCTTGACACAAAACGCGCAACCTCCTGCCGCCCAGGAGACACGCTCGCTTCGTCATGCGTGGAAGTCAGTGTACAGACTGTCACCTGTTTTGGGATGGCGCTAGACAAAACCCTGGGAACAACAAACCTTGCTTCTAGGATATAGTCATCGTGCAAGTACCGCTTGATAAGAAACGAATGGGCTTTTCTTATCACGGCGAGCATCGTCTATGAATGGGTTCCATGACCTAAACTTGTGGGACGGCCTGGAAAACAAAACAACTCCTGAATCCAGAGCGCTCCTTGCTTCAGCGTCTCAACTGTACGCGTACACCGCCGTATTCCGATATCACTTTACCTCGATTGATGGTGCCTGCTCATGCCTGGTGCTGGCTGCTAGGTCCCGGGGGCCCCCAAATTCCCGGGTCTACTGCAGTGCCTCTTCGGGCCTCGCCTTCTTTGCTGTCTTCGGGGCCGCTTGAGGACGGGCTCGGGCGCTCTCTGGGATCTCTAGCCGTTCCTGTAGCAGCATTCCCAGACGGCGCCGGCGCGACTCGCGACGCGACCAGCCCCCTCCCCTCCCCCTCCCCCGCCCAATCCCGCAAACCCTCCCCCCAGTGGCCTCGATTGCAGCGTCTCGGGCACACCCGGAGGGCCTCTTGGGCCGTCTTGGGGGCAGCAGGGGACAACGCCAAGCCCACGTGGCGCAGCCCTCCTGTGACATGCCGCTTGGAATAGGTCGGGCATGTCCCCCCACAGGCGCATGTTGGAGGAAAAAGAAGAGCAGTCCAAGAAAATTGAAAGAGACGTTCAAGCAGGATCGAAAAATCGTCCCCAGACAATGTTTTTTGTTGACTATGTTTGAATGTTCCTCCCGTAGAGGGACACGCACGACTTAACGCTGGGAGCCGTCTCGCTGGAGCCCCCAGGGGCTCAAAGAATGTCCTAATTACTCTTCTCCTTCCTGCTCTTCGACCACGACACCCCTGACCACACCAGGCCGTCAGAGTGCACGCGGGGGTGCTGCAGCGTGCCTCCTCCTCCATCCTCCTCCTCCTCCTCCACCTCCTCCTCGTCCTCATCCTCCTTTCTCCTCCTCCTCCTGCTCCTCCTCCTCCTCCTTCGCCCCCTCCTCCTCCATCCTTCTCAGAAGTCTTGCAGTCGCACAGCTGGTGCGACGAGTAGACTTCCAGAAGCCACCTTACATGACCTGACCTCCTCCATCCTCCTCCGCCCTCCTCCAGCCTCCTCCTCCTCCTCCTCCTGCTCCTCGTCCTCCTCTTCGTCCTCTTACGACTCCTCCATCCCTCTCCTCCATGATTTTACTCCACCCTCCCCTTCCTACAGATCCATCTTCTCCTCCGCCTGTACTCATCCACCTCATTCTCTTACTCCTCATCCATCTTTCTCCTGCTCCTTTCCCTGAAGGTCTGCAACAGCCTCAAGAGGTCTCCACCTGAATCCTCAGTACTCAGGCTGAGAACCATGCCTCATCCAGCCTCAGGTCGGGCATGCCCCCCTACAGGCGGATGTTGGACAAAAAACAAAAATAGGCAAGCACAAAAAACACAAATAATCAAAACATGTTTAAAAATCGCCCCTGGACTGTTTCTTGTATTTTGGATATTCCTCCTGTAAAGGGACAGGCCCGACTTAAATCCAGCCTTTCTCCCTCCGAGCTGTGTACGATCGCGTCGCGCCCCCACGCAGCCTTCATTGGCCCCGCCGTGGGCCCGAAGATCCCCGCGTGGATGGCCCGGCGGGCACTGTACCGGAGGTTCTCCTCGTGGTCCAGCTCCAGGGCCGTCTGGGTCATCGAGAGGACGATGAGATCCAGTCGGGGGTCGATGGTCCAAGCTCGGATCTTTTTTTCCGGGAGAAGAAGAGATGGGGAGCGCGAGATCCCTGAATCACACTACGGCGTGACGGGCGCAGTCGCGTGGAGCAGGAGACCGCCAGGCAAACTGGGATCGCTACGCGAGCCGACCTGCCATAGGCAAGCTCATGCGAGACGGTGGCCTGAGAGAAAGGAGAGCATCCCAAGCCTGGGCCTTCGATTGCCCAAGCTTGGGACACTGCGTTGTCAGCTATAGGACGCCGCAGCGCCTAGCAAGCATCCAGGACACCCAAGAGAGACCGAGAGAGGGCGCGGGATGCATGGGTGGGCGGCGGAAGCGGCTCGTGGGCGCATGGACACAACAATCAAAATCATAGAGCATTCCCACGAGGCACCGGCTGCATCCTCTGGACTGGCACAGCACAACGCAAGCTGCATTTCGAGCCGATGCTCATCCCGAACACTAGAGCGCAGCGCATGAGGAGGGCTTCGGGCCCGGAGAAGCAGGGCATGTGTCTTAAAGCTGAGGCTCTGCCCGAAGAGGGTGCCGCACAGGGCCTCAGGGTGACAGGGCCGAAACTTCTGAACCAGCGAGCGGCGCACCCATCGCCACCCCGCCCTTGGAGTGACTCGGGCGATCCTGGGACCACCTCGGCGAGCCTACGAGAGTCGGGGCCAGCCTCGGCGCTCGTTGGGCGACTCTCGGGCCGGAGGGCTGGTCCCACACGCCCAGATCGTCCGCAATCGCTCGGCTTTTGTGCAGCGTACGCCTTCGCGCCGTTGGAGCCCGCCAGGGCACACATGTCGACCAAAAGAGCACCAATACGGGCCCAAGATGGCCCCCCCCAAGATTGGCCCCGAGAGACCCACCAACAAAAAGCGCAGCACCGTGGCGTCTGAAGGTCCTCCCCCCCCCCAAGACCCCCGAGAGGCTCACAGGAGACCCCCATCGACCATCGAGCCCCTGGAGGCCCTCCGAGGAGCTCTCGAGAAGCCGCCAGCCGCCACAGACGGTCGCCCCTGGGATCTGGGCGTTGCAATTTTGTCACCGGGCGTTGTCGCCAGCCTTCTAGCCCCAGGACCATCACAGACTGGTCCAGCTCGAAGAAAATGCCGCATCAATGTTGGGTCGAGGGCTTCGGTCGTGATTGTTCACGATGCTGCATCTATTTCGCAACGCCAGATCCCAAGTCCAAAAGGGGTCCCCAACAAAAACCACCGCGAGGTGCGTGCAACGAACGCTACGGCCGTGCGACGTCATGGCACTGCCTGCGGAGCTTCTCCCAGCGCGGGTGCGAATATATGCGGCAGCGCAGCTGGATAGCGCAAAGAGTGGACGCGACCAAACGCAACGATATTCCCAGATGTTGCACGTGGCTCCGAATCCTGCAATCAGTCAGGCACACTGGAAGGCGACCACATGGAAAAAATTACGCGTCTGCGTAGCAATGTAATGCGACCATTGACGATGGCACATGCTAGCCCGGAATTTAGAAACCTACAGGGCGTCATGGTCTACTCCTCCTGTTCCCCCGTTTTCCACTGCTGCTGCGAACCATGACTATTTTATGCTGCTGCACCATTGCAGGGTCTACTAAGCCGTTCTACGTATATGCCTGTGTATATGTCTTACACGTCTGAGGCATGAAGAACTGTGCTGGCTTCTTCGATTTGTTGAACATGCCGACGGTACCCGTAACCATCCGACCCTCCAGTGCGCCCGAACACCTGAGAGATCTTAGGCACGATCAGGGTTTGTCATATTTGTTTTTCGAAATATGTGAGGCCAGGAGACATTGCTAGCATCCTCCTTCTCGTCCTCCTCATCCTCCTCCTAGATATTCCTGTCTGCCACCGACATTCCCATGCCGCTTCCGATATGTCCGATACGTCCTTCAACTTCCCCCGATTCTCCGCCGAAGTAATCCTGAGAATGCTCCCACAAAGCCAGGGCGATCGCGCAAATGTCCGCAACGAAGCTCAGGCGCCTTCCTGAGGAGCCTCCGCGGGAATCCTAGAAAAAGGCCCTCCGCCGTCACCGCCTCCGTAGCTACCGATGCCCCAGTATTCAGCTCCTCCTCTCCCTCCGATCCATCATTTTTCTTTACGCTGGGCAAACTTTGAGCGAGGCTCGTAAGGTCCCAGAGAGAATCGAGCGCAGGGTGCTGGACGGTGAAAAGAAATGCGAAGCGAGGCCACCTGTACGGTATGGGAAGCGGCGGCGTGGTGGGTCTGGCGATGGCCTCCGCACTGCCCTCGACGCGCCCACAAAACGCTTGGGCGGTCAGAGAAGGAGTTTCTCGTCCTCCCCCCTTGTCTCCCTCCTCCCTCTCTCCCTCCCCCCTCGACTCCCTCGCTTCTCTTCCTCCCTCGCCTCCATCGCTCCTCCCTCGCTCCTTCGCTCCCTCGCCTCCCTCGCTCCTTCGCTCCCTCACCTCCCGCGCTTCTTCTCCCTCGCCTCCCTCGCTCCTCCTCCTTTCTCGCCTCCCTCGCTCCTCCCTCGCTCCTCCCTCGCTCTTCCTCCCTCGCTCCCTCTCCCTCGCCTCCTTCGCTCCTCCTCCCTCGCCTCCCTCGCTCCGCCTCCTCCCTCGCTCCCTCTCCCTCGCCTCCCTCACCTCCCTCGCTCATCCTCCCTCCCTCGCTCCTCCTCCTCTCTCCCTCTCGTCCTCCTCCCTCGCCTCCTCCCGCAACCTGGTGCGGGGGCCTCCAGCAGGGGGAGGAGGGTGGTCTCTCCGCCTCCTGCTCCTCCCTCGTCCTCGTCCTCCCCCCTGTTTCTACTCGTGCTCCCTCATCTCCCTGCCCCTTCCTCCCTCCTCGTCGTGACTCCTCCCTCCTTCCTCCTCGTGCTCCCTCCTCTCCCCCTCCTCCCCTCCCTCCTCGTCATCACCCCTCCCTCCTGCCTCCTCGTCCTCCTCCATCCCCGTCCTCGCTTGGGCTCGTCGGTTATGCGATCTGTGCACAGAGGCGCAGATCGGCCAGCAGGACGCAGCAAAGCTCTGAACGCGCAGTCCTGGCCCGCCCAGACCTCCCCAGCCGAACTCCGCGCTCACCGTCCCGGGCGTCAGGCTGGCGTAAGTCGCGTTGCTCACCTTCTCGAGGTGCTGCACCTCGCAGCAGAGAGGCCTCCTCCTTCTCCTTTTCCTCCTCCTCCTCCTCCTCCTCCTCCTCCTCCCCCTCTTACCTGTCCTCCTCCTTCTCCTCTTCCTCCTTCTCCGCAGAGAGAAAGAGGGAGAGAGAGAGAGAGAGAGAGACAAACGGCCGGGTTCCAGACCACACGAGCACAGATGCTGTGGCCCCACAGAGCGTCGCAGCAATGCTTCACCCGCCTGCGCACCAAGTGCGGTGGACATCACGCTGTCTTGCCAGAATTGCGGTGTGCTCCACCTCCGCATTCTTCCCCTCTCCGCCCGCGTGCCAAGTTGCTCCGCCTACAGCCTCGAGGGTCTAGGGGGGTCTTCGAGCGTTTCTAGCCCTTGCCAGGCCACTGGAGGCCACCAGCTTCCAATGACCTATAGTAACGGGAACCTCCGGGGGTAAGATACGAAGAAGCCAGGACGAGGATAAAATCGGGTGAGGATAAATCGAGAATCTCTGAGATCTGGAGGCTCTGGGAAATGTCTCGCGGGCGCCGCGGCCTTCTCGGAGCGCTCCGGAACGGTCTGAGAGCGTTCCGGAACGCTCTGGAACGGATTCATCCTCGTCCTAACCCCGTCCAGGACCCGCGCGGGGTCCGAGTCCAGGGTCCGGGGTCTGGACTCTGGGGATCCAGGCCCAGTCCAGGGTTCAGCACCCCGGGGCCAGGAGCTGCGCGTACAACGTCCGCGTCATCGTCGTGCTCCCTCTCCTCTGGAAGTCGCGCCTCAGCGGTCTCTGAGCTGGATCCGGGCGCACGAGAAGCAGCCCCCACCGGGCAGCTCTCGAGGTGCAGTCTGCCATCCTTGCGGCGGCCGTTTCTTCCCCGACCAGGGCCTATCCATTGTATCGACAATCTCGCTTTCTCTCTCTCTCTCTCTGTCTCTCTCTCTCTCTCTCTCTCTCCCTCTCGCGAGAGAGAGAGTCGAGAAAGCGAGAGAGTGAGAGAGAGAGAGAGAAATATCTAGAGGTGACGACCCTGATAGGGGATGGGATCAGACGCACACACACAGCTGTGGCTAGACTGTTCCCGAGACTCCTGGAGGTGACCTCAAAGCTGCACTGAGGGACGAGGTGGACGAGGGTGAGCCTCTTCGTCGTCGCTCTTCTCCTCCGCCGCTTCCTCCTGCCGCCTCGTCCTCAGGCTTCGCCTCCTCTTCCCACCCTCCCTTCCTCCACAACTACTTCCGACGCCTCCGCCTCCTCCATCCTCCGTCTCACAATCTTCCAAATCTGAGGGCTCCCCGACAAACTCCCCACCCTCCCCGCGTGGGAGAGGCCCCTGGGGCGTTGGGGCTGCGGTCTTCGCCTTCCTCCCTCCCTGCTTTCTCCGTCTCCTCAGCCGCCGCCGCCTCCTGCTCATCATACTGCTGCTCCCCTCCTCCGGCTCATCCTTCCCCTGCCCCGTCTTCCTCCTGCTGCTTTAACTCCTAGTCCTTTCTCCTCCTTTCTCCTCATCCTCCTCCTCGTCCTCCTCCTCCTCGTCCTCCTTCTCCTCCTGCTCCTTGTCCTCCTCCTCCTCCTCGTCCTCCTCCTCCTCCTCCTCCTCCTTGTCCTCCTCCTCCTCCTCCTCCTCCTCCTCCTCCTCCTCCTCCTCCTCCTCCCCCTCACCTTACTCCTTATCGCTCCTCTTTATACTGCTACGATTTCTGGCATCCCGCCTCCGCGTCATCTTCGGACCGCGTGCGACCGCGCGAATCGAACGCTGGCACCAAGCGGTGCAGCGCAAGAAGCTCCTGCACCGCGGGCGAAGGTGTGCGTGGTCCTGCGGCAGGCCCGATGGTCACCGGGTCCCGCCTGACGTGTACTGGCCAGGAGTAGCTTTAAGTCGGGCCTGTTTCCCTACAGGGGGATTTTCGACGCAAAACACATCCTTCAAGAACATGAGACCCTCCGCCGGCCCAACTCGAAGAACATTCGAGGGTACCCTACCCCAGGATGCCCCAGAATATCCAACAAACGCGAAAGACATGAGGGCACCCTCCCCGAACCGACCTCGATCTCATACCTCCGTCCGATCGTGGGATGTTGCAGCCCCTGCGAGCTAAGAGGGCTGAAGACAAGATTATGTGGGCAACCCCGAGCATGCAACGTCAAGTCCTCCTGGGTCTGCAATTCAAGCATTGAAGAGGTATGGCCGAGGCTGCGGAGGCTCGCCACTCTGGCCTGGATCTGTCCGAGCATGCAGTAGCCCTGCCCCTTCTTGTCGAAGACCCAGGCCGCGCGGCGCTTGCCCCCAGAATCCCCTTCGGTGCTGATCGCCGCACATTGATTGCACACGCCCCCGCCCTCCTCACCCCTGCTCCCTTCTCCC